AAAAAAAAAAAAAGGAAAAATAAAGAAAAATACTTAGTGGATATTCAGTGTTTCCACCACAAAAATGAAAAATGATAACTATGTGAGGTAGTTATTTGATCATTTGATCATTCCACAATGAACATATACTTGAAACATTGTTATATGTGGTAAATACATACAGTTTTCTCTGTCAGTCTGAAAATGTAGAAATTAAAAAATAGACAATGAGAAACACAAAGCTATCCATGTGAGTAATTTTAAATTTTTTAGTAGCCAAATTAACCAACTCAAGAGATAGGTGAAATTAATAATGTTTCTTAACCTAATATCTGTTATGGACTGAATTTATGTTCCTCTCCCTCGCCAAATTCATATGTTGAAACCCTCACTCCCAATGTGATAGTTTTAGGAGGTGGATCTTTAGGGAGATGATTAGGATTAGGTGAGGTCATGAGGGTGGAGCCCTCATGAATGGAACTGGTGACCTTACAAGAGTCACGAGGGAATTTGATTCCTCTCTCTGCCCTCTGCCATGTGAAAATACGACTTCTGGGCAGTGTGCAACCCAGAAGAGGGTCCTCACCAGAACCCAACTATGCCAACACCTTGATTTTGGACTTCTGGTTTCCAGAACTATGAGAAATAACTGTGTGTTGTTTACAAACTACTCAGTCTCTGATATGTTGTTAGCAGCCCAAACTAAGACAATATCCAAAATATTATTCCAACATGCAATCAATATAAAAACAACTTTTTTTCCATCAAATCTTTGAAATGCAGCATGTATTTCTTCTATCGTTTTTCTTTTAATGGCCACCCCCTCACCTGCATATTGAGGGGACCCTTATTCTGAGGGCTATTCAGACATTACCTTCAAGCAGATTTTTAAATTGTTCCTATTGTGGTGAAATACACATAACATAAAACTTACCATCTTGACTTTTAAATGTATCACACTTGATCTTAGCCAAAAGGCCAAGAAGCAATAGACTTTTAAATGTATCAGTGGTATTAAGTACATTCATAATGCTGTGTAACCATTACCATTCATCTCCAGAACTCTTCATTATATAAACTGAAACTCTATACCCATTAAATAACAACTCTTCACTCTCCCTTCCCTCATCCCCTGTCAACCACCATTCTGCTTTCAATGTGGTATATATTTTATCCTTACATCACATTTCAGTGAGGGCCAGCAATGCTCAATAGCTGCATGTGGCTAGTGGCTACTGTGTTGGACAACATTGGTCTAGAAGATGCACAGGTTTAGGGATAATATAATTAGTTTGTCTTAAAAAGGCTTCTATTATAGTTTTGGTCAGCATCACTGGAAGGGCAGAGATCATATAATCCGGGGCTTGGAGCTGACCACACTGTGTCTGTTTTCTTGGCCACAGGTTAAGTGGAGAGCATGCTCATAAGCATATAATCCTAACTCCTCTTTCCCCACCTGGGGCATGCAGTCAGGGACCTGTTAGCAGACAACTGCCCATAACGCTAAAGGAAAGGAACCGGGGACAGAAGTATAAGAAAATTTCAGAATGTTTAGGGGGAAAAAAGGGAAACATCTACTTTTATGACCAGAAATGCTCAAAGGAAAGATGACTCAAAAGGGATGGGAAGCTCTAAAGAATAAGAATCAGACAACACAATCATGAATGACTCCAGTGAAGAAAAGTGACAAGTAGCTCATGAAATTAATATGATGACTAAAGCCTATTTGACCATTTTGGTTCTAAAATGATACAGAAGGGTACTGCATTAGTCTGCTAGGGCTACTGTAACAAAATACCATAGACTGGGTGGTTTAAACAAAAATTTATTTTCTTACCGTTCTGGAGGCTGGAAATCCAATATACGGGGTCTGGCTAATTTGGTTTCTGGCGAGGGCTCTCTTCTTGGCTTGCAGACAGCAGCCTTCTTGTTGTTTCCACACTTGACCTCTTTATGCATACATTGTAGGAGAGAATGTGAGCAAGTTCTCTGTTCTTTTTTAAAAAAAAATTATTTTTATATTTTGTAGTGATGCGGTCTCAATATGTTGCCCAGGCTGATCTCAAACTCCCAGACTTAAGCAATTCCCTGGTCTCAGATTCCCAAAGTGTTGGGGTTACAGGTGTGAGCTGCTGTGTCCTGCTTGCTGTCTCTTTTTGTAAGGGCACTACTTCTATCAGACCAGCACCCAACACTTATGACTTCATCTAACCTCCTAGAGGCCCCATCTCCAAATGCCTTCACATTGTGGGGGTTAGGCTTTTAATAGAAGAATTTTGTGGGGCAAAGATTTAGTCCTTAATAGACATACAGATGAATAGCATGAACCCATATGAGTATTAGGAAGCAAATTATGATCCACAAGGAACTGAGGCTTGCAAAAATTACAAAGGAAAACATAAAAGACTTCTTCAGTTACGTTCAGTACAAGGAGAGGAAAAAAATAGATTACGTTAAAAAAAACTACTGACCTTGAAAGCCTTGGAAAGCTCTGGAAACCTGGCAACTTGGGCTGAAAATCCAGGTTTAATACGTTCGCAATAACACCACCATCTCGTCACAGGGTTCCAGGTTTCAGACATGGAAGGCCGAGTCCTCCTGTGTTTCTGAATTAGTTGCTGTATAAAATTTATTCACTTACATTAGTCTGTTAACTGAGCAGTTAAAGTAGCATGTTTATTTTTACAAACCCCTGTCTAAGGAGCCCTTGGCTTGGTTCATTGTTTGGCATTGTGTCTACCTGGCACCTGCCAGAAACATGGCAGTCATTCTTGACCTTCCTTTTTCCCTTTCCTCCCAAATTGAATCCATCCCCCAGGCATCTCAAATCTGTCCATTTTTTTTCTCCATCTCTTCTGTCAGATGGATGCTCATTGAGTTTGATGATACTACTACTTTTATAGCTTAAATTTCTATTTTCAAGCTTATTGAAAGGAAATACAGAATTTAGGAATTTTTTTTTTTTTTTTTT